AAGACCCTGCCAGGCTCAGCACCGGGACTTCTGAGGAAAAGCCTTTCTCTGAGCTGCTGAGCGTGGGCTTTGCAGGGTTGCGGCAGAACAGTACGGGACAGGGGGAGAAAGGGCAGACCGAGCGGCACGGTCCCGTCCTGCTGGAAATGCGTGTTCTCCTGTGCATGGGAACATGCCAGGGCAGTGTGGGCCGTCGCTGCGGTGCTCCTGGTCAGGGGAGGCAAGAGGCAGTGACCTGGGTGTAAGGTTTACTATGAGGGTGACCAGTCTCACCATTGAAATGACAAGTCTAATGACGCATCGGCTTCACTGGCTGGTGGTCTGTGACGCTGGCTACGCACTGCAGAGGCACCCCGGCTGGAGAGGGAACTGGGGTGCCAGGTTCCCAGGCACACATGGGGGGCTCTCACCATGGAGGAGCTCCCCAGGAGGCACCTCTAGTTGGCTCCTTCTGGGTTAAAAAAAGGATGACCTGTTTTGCAGATCGTGGGTCTTCCTTCAGTGTGCAGTTACAGACCAGGGTTGGGCAGTCAGTGGCCAGACCTGCTGTCGTCCAGCTGTGGCCCTCACTTTGTTCACTGGCCAGCAAAGACCCAGCTCTACGGGCCTCCTTCCACTGGGGTGTTCTGGAGAGAACCAGGGCTTCACATCCTCACAGTGCTGCACCACTGAGCCACACTGCCAGTCTCTACTTGATTTTCTGCTTCATTTTTGATGAGACCATAAGAAAGTCAAAATGAGAGGACAACCACTAGAGGGACTAGAGTCGATGTGCATAGAAACAAACTGGAGAATCCGGAGAAAAGCTGAGCTCCCTGAGAAGCCACCCAGGTCCAGGCAGAGGGTGGGCCAGAGGCTTGGAGCTCCAGAGACAGGAGCGCAGACAGGTCCTGTGGTGTGGCCTGTGGACACGGCCTCCCGAGCAGGCCAGGGCCCGCGGAGAGGCTGGGCAGGCTGCAGCAGCCTCCCACAGAGCCTGGTACTGACAGTCGCCCTGGTTTCCTCCAACTGGAACCACAGACTGGGAAGCCGTCCACCCCCAGGGGGCCGGGAACCCAAAGAGGAAGCCTCCCCCGGGAGCATATGGCTCCGCTGAGCTGAAGCTGCACACGCAGGGTGCCATGCTCCACAGGCCGACCCCTGCCTGGCTGGACTCCCCCAGGCGGGAGGGCACTGCCCTCTGCTCTCCCGACCTCTCTGGCTCAGAGCGATCCTTTCCAGGTGTCCTCAGGCTGATTGGCAATGACCCCCGATGCAGAGTCACCAGATGTGGGTCTCGTTCATTACTCGGCGTGTGTGGAGTTCACGCAGGACGCGGTGCAGAGGGTGCAGTGTGGGGACACAGAAGGGGTGCAGACCCCTGGGAGAGCAGAGCCTCTGGCGGGGCAAGCAGGGAAACAGGGGACCCAGATCAGGGGAGGCTGGGGAGGGAGGTGGTGATCCCGGGCTGCCGCTGGGGGAAGAGGCTGCATTCAGGTGCTGTGAGATGTTGGGGGAGGCTGGAGTGCAGACTGGAGCCTGGGGGACACGAGGGACGAAATGCCCAGTTGTCAGAAGTCACAGAGTGAAGAGCTTGCCTGGGCAGCAGGGCCCTCTGGCTGTGGCGGGGAGAGAGCAGGAGGAGGTGGAGACACCTATGTTTGGAGGCAAGTGGCTGCAGGTGGGCTGCAGGTGGGCTGCAGGTGCGTGGCGAGAGGCTCAGTGGTCGGCAGGACGCCTGCAGAGCCCGGTGGAGATGGAGACCCTGATGTGATGTCCACGTCGGTCACTCCCCAGGTCTCCAGGGCTCCCTCTGCTGCAGGTGGCCTGGACCCTCTGTCCGGGCCCAGGACCAGCACTGGCAGCAGTCACCCAGTTCACAAAGACCTTCTGCCCTGCTTCTGGGGAAAGCCCTCCTGGTGCAGGGAATGGCGGGAGAGGCAGGTGCACATGGGAAGGTCTGAGCTCCCAGGGGAGCTCACAGCACAGTCACTACTTACAGCTGTGTCACCTCACCTGGCCCAGGGCCCAGGCAGGAGCAGCACTGGGAGTACCCATGCGTTCCTTGGCTCCTCCAACCGAGGGAGGAGTCGGAGGCTGGAGGCTCCTGTCCCTGGAGGGCGCCCGCCCAGGACTCCGATTACCCTGCTCTCTGTGCAGTTCCCAGCCCTGCCATCTCCTTTCTGCAGAGCCCGGGAATTCTGGGGAGTGCGAAAGGTCGAGTAGTTCCCAGCAAACCCAGGACAGGCCCACTTCCTTCCTGTGG